GTTCACCAACAGGTACGAAGTTCGAATCCTGCGTTCTATTCGGGTGAAGAGGGATACCTGTTGGTGCAGTGCGCATTACGGTCGGCGCCAAACCCCTTCAGAAAAAAAAGGCAAGAAGACACAAAGAAACACCACTGCCCCCCTGTCTCTTCCTTGCTCTCTCCGTAAATCGCACTACCATTCAGGAGGAGGAGGAGGAGGAGGAGGAGGTGGAGGGGCAGGAGGAGGAGGAGGAGGAGGAGGAGGCAGCAAAAGAGGAGGAAGAAGAGGAGAAGCAGAAGGGGAGGGTTTCGAGGAGGAGGGGGAGGAGGAAGAGGAGGAGGAGGAGGCAGCGAAAGAGGAGGAAGAAGAGGGAGAAGCAGAGGTAAGGGTTTCAAGGAGGAGGAGGAGGAGGAGGAGGAGAGCAAAAGAGGAAGACACAAAAGAGGAAGACACAAAAGAGGAAGGACGAAGCAAAAGAGGAAGGACGAAAAGCAAAAGAGGAAGCATCCCATTCCTCCAACGACTCTGTCTACCGCTAACAGAACTACAGTTAATGTATTGATCAACAAAAAATCGCCACGGTAACCGACAGGCAGTGACAGAACTACAGTTAATGTATTGATCAACAAAAAATCGCCACCGCGATGATGATCACTACCATGACCACGTCGATTTCGATTTGGATGCCCGAAGACGTGTCCGAGAGCCAAATTTACGAAAGGAGGAGGAGGAGGAAGAAGAGGAGGAAAGAAAGAAGAGCAAGAACTGAGGAGAAAGCGGAGGGGGAGAAGGAATGATGATGATGATGATGATGATGATGATCATGATCATGATCATGATCATGATAACGTTTGTCGAACCTCGGACACCCTGGCATCATGTCTTTGGACCGGAGGCGCAGCAGCAGCAAATGGAGGAGGAGGAGGAGGAGGAGGAGGAGGCGCAGCAGCAGCAAATGGAGGAGGAGGAGGAGGAGGAACAGAGGGCGAAGGGGGGAGGAGGCGGCATCATGCTGCTGCTGCTGCTGATGATGATGATGATGATGATGACGATGATGATGATGATGCTGATGTTGATGGTGATGGTGATGATGATACCGAGTATCGGACGCGATAGCACCATGTCTTAGGAGCGAACGAGCAGCAGCAGAAAACGAAGCAGAATGAAGAATAGGAGGGTGAGGAGGAGGGGGAGGAGGAGGGGGAGGAGGAGGAGGAGGAGATAAGGAGTATCATAACGTCAAGCTTCAGACGAGAGCGGACTTCGAAGAGGTAGATGAAAGAGGCAAACGAAGAATCAACAGCTGTCCTTTTCGGATGATTAGTCACACTGATTGATCATAGTGAAAATGATGATGATGATAATGATGATAATAATAATAATGATGAGGATGATGGACGATGATGATGATGATTGCATGGTGATTGCATGGTGATTATTGACGATGATGATGATAATAATGATGATGATGATGATGATGATAATGATGATGATCATGATGATCATGATGATGATGATGACGATGGTGATGATGATGATGATGATGATGATGATGATGATGATGGTTGGCCCAGATGATGGAGACGGGAGCGACCTTATTCGTTAACTCGATTGCCATTGCTGGAACGTCTTCCCTCCTCTTCCTTCTTTTTTTTTTTTTTTTTTTCTCACGAGTGTTTGACAAAGTGAAGAGTAACCCAAGGACGAATCTTGGATGTGGTCTACTGCCGTATGCGAAAGAAAGGGGAAGAAAAAAAATAATAACAATAATAATGAATTAAAAAAGGGGAAGGGGGGGAGGAAGGCGGTAGAGATTTATTTGAGTATTGCAACCTTGGGCGACAACAAGATTTGTCCTTGCTGCCACCTGCTTCTTCTTCTTTCTCTTCATTCTCTTCATTCTCTTCTCTTGTCCCCCTCCTCTTTCGTCTCTCATTCCCCCAAAAATAACAAGGTCACGTCGTAAGCTGGACATCACTGGGGCCGACGTTATCGCTCAGGCGCTGTCATCTTCTCGTCGACTTTTTTTTTCATTAAACCACCAGCACCCCGGCCGCCGGAAAAATAAAAATGAAGCAGAATCGTTTCCACTTGAATGAATGTAGGCGCTTCTGTCCAGGCCGGTTCATCCTACCGCGTCCGGGCTACAGTCTTCCCCCCCGAATACAACGTACGGTCATTATAGCTGAATTTAGACTGAAACATACCCCAAATTCAGCTATAATGACCGTACGTTGTATTCGGGGAAAAACTGTAGTATATACCACCGCGACTTTCGGAGGTACTGGCGGTTTAACCACTGCACCGCATTGCATTGCATTGCTGTTCTGTATTATCATTCTTCGAAATTAAGAGTATTGGTGTTCACCGTCACCATCATCAATCATTATACAATCATCATCAATCTTCATCAATCAATCATCATCAATCATCATCAATCAATCATCATCAATCATCATCAATCATCATCAATCACCATGCAATCATCATCAATCATCATTCATAAGCATTATCAATCATCTATCATTACCATCATCAATCATCATCACAAATCATCATCAATCATCATTACAAACCATCATCAATCATCATTATAAAGTATCCATCATTATCATCATCATCAATGAGCACCATCATCAACGATCAATCATTACCATCGTCGATCATCATGATGCATCATGAATCATCATGAACCGTCATCGTAAATCACCAATTTTGATACTCCATATCATACACCCAGGTTACTATATCACATTCTTATGATTTTTGATACTCCATATCATATCCCCAAATTACTCTATCTTCGTCCTTTCACTTCTCATCTCATTCTCTCCCTCTCCCATTGCCCCGACTCTCCTTTCACCTCATCATCATCAAGTCGAGCGAAGATGTACAATGAATACAGACAGTATCGATGTCTACCTTGGCGCGACGCCCGTAGCTGACCCAAATGACGGCCTCATCATGGCTATGGCTTGTATTTCTCCTCGTCTTAGTCGGCGTGGTGTACCTGCGAAGAAAATCTCCCTGTAGTAGAAGGGTAGGCTTTTGCCAGGAGGCACAGAGAGGTGGTATTGGGTTTAATGCTGTATTTTTTACTTCGATATTTCTTTTAAGCACAGCTGCTTTCTCTCTACTGGAAAGAGAAAACATTGCTCGACGATCGATTTCTAGCTGTTGATGATTCGGTTGCCCTCCTCCTCGTCTCTCCCTCTCCCATTCGTGGCCTCTCAGCTCACATTTCCATTTCACAGGGGGCGGGGCAGCGCAACTATTGATGACAGCCATCGCCGACGCCACAGCTGCGCTTATCACGAAGAACCATTCACAGCCAGCCTGACGCTCCCGGGGAAGTGCGAGAGAGAGTGGTGGAGGGCAGGTGGTCTTGGGAGAGGGAGGCGGGTTAATTAACTCGCAACAAGGTAAAACTTTGCAGAATTATCACTACCGTAGTGAAAATTACTGCAAGGTAAACGACTAAGTACCGTGACGGCCAGTGCTATAATCTTGTGTATGTCGAGAGTGTTAGTGGTGTAACCAAAGGGCCTCGCTCGCTCCATTCCTCATCAATTGTGCAAAACAACGGTGAAATGAATTGTCCGCTAGAACATGGCCAGATGCACCCCCATAATATTTTATTTTGTCTTTTGTGGGTGTGGAGAGTGGCGGAGCGAGGCCCATAGAGCCTCGCCACACCACTCTCGAAATGTGAAAAAGACAAAAATGTGGCGGGCGCACCTGGCCGTGTTCTAGCGGGAAGTTCATTCTCATTTTGCACATTTCGAGAGTGGTGTGGCGACGCCCATACTCTCATATCCGAACCTTACGGATCGAATTGGCCGTCCCAAAACAAAAACCGGAAAGAAGAAGAAAACGGAAAATTGCATTTGAAAGAAAACAAATTAAAAAATAAATAAAAAATTGCATTTGTAGTAATTTATACCCCATTTAAAATTTAAAATTCCAGCTATACCCAGTCCCAGCGCCCAACTTGCATCTCTACACACACCCTCTCCAGTACAAGGCGGGCCCTCGCCGCAAGTTTTGGAGGCCCGAAACACAACGCCGGCAATTGATGAAATTTTGGCGGCCCGAAACACAACGCCGCCAATTGATGAAATTTATCAAGGGCGGACTGGCGCCGAAATTTTTGGAGGCGAAGGCACAACCGATTCAATTACCTGTCAAATCTGGACAGGACGGCCTTTCAGGCCTTTTTTTTTTTGTCATGATAGTATTACGGGGAAGTTGGGGGAACCCCGTAGCAGCCACATCTGTGCTCAAAGCCTCCAACGAGGGAACATGCGGGAGCTGCACTCACCAGCAGGTGGGCGATACCGGCCAGGGGTAGCATCAGGACCCAGCTTCTTCGATGGGCCAGTCACTATGACCGCGCCCCGGGGCGCAGCCAGGGTGGAGGAGATTGCAGTACCATAATTTGAGTTTAGGCACATGAAAACACGAGCTAAGAAATAGTTCGGAAATTCTGATGCCGAAAGAGGGTTGATAAAAGGGCATGTTCTCTTTGGATTTGCCTGACCAAAAGCATGATATAGTTGTAGGTCTAAGGAGATATTATAATATTAAAGCACTGCAACTTCCCATGTAGTTTTTATGGACTCTGAATTTCATTGAGCACTGAGTTTTGTCAAGCTTGTGTCTCATTGTATTTTGTTTTTTGGTATTGCATAGAAATGAAACAAAATGCAAGGAAGAGAAGAAGGGGAAAAATAAAAAGATTAAAAAACACCTAGTGCATTGGGGCGTGAAAGCCGCTGGAATATCAATGCGAAATTCGTACGTCCCAGAAACAAAGTACTGTACCGGCCAGGGGTCAGCCGGTAGCATCAGGACCGAGCTTCTTCGATGGGCCAGTCACTGTGCCTCCCCTCCGGTCCCCTCCCCCTGTGAGCATCAGCAGTCTCTGCTCAATGCCTCTCGGGGGGACCAACGACATATCTCTAGGTGGGGGGCACCAAGCTTGCCCAGGAAGGTGCATGAGGCCAATGGGGATTGAACCCAAAACCTCCTGAATGCCACTTGTGTGCCTTACCAACTGAGCTAGGCCGCTGGATCAAGAGCTGTTTTTCTGCAAGGCTGGGGGACGTGTACTGGTGAGTAATTGTGGGTGTCAACCTTGGCCCACCTTGGTCCCAGATATGCAAATAATTTGCAGGACCATTTCCCGGGTATAGATGCAAATTGGGTGCTGGGAGTGGGTATCGGGTATTCCCATTTTATATCTGAAATTAATGGCAAACTTTGCAAATTACCCTGTTATCTGTGTGGCAGGGAATTGTACTCACAGGTCGCTCAATAGTCATTGAACACATAGAACTATTGTCTTTCCACCTTTATCTAGGTTAATTGTCATTAAGGAGTCAGAATCTGTATGCTTACTAAGTATCGAACCATAAAAGCCCTGAATAGTATGGTACAATGCCAAGTTACAAAGCTAAGGTACTAAGGTAAGCATTGTTGATCCTTGTCAAAGGAAGCACAAATGATACAATGCCAAGCTATGAAGCTAAGATATTAAGATAAGCATTATTGATTGTTGTCATAGGGATTACAAATCGCAATTGCAAAGTTATCAATGCCAGATTACTATGTTAAGCAAACAAAGTATTGTGTAGTCTAAAGAAAAAGGAGAATAGAGCACAATCCGTTAGTTATCTGAGATTAATGTTAAACCTTGCAAATTGTTTTGCCACGATGTTGGCATAAGCATCTACTGGTAGGGGGGAGAAAATCATATGAGGCATTCTTTTTTTTTTTTTTTCTCTCTTTTTCTTTGTCTCTCCCTTTGTCTATTTCTCTTTATCTTCTCTCTCTTTCTCAGTCGCACATGTATATAGACACACACATTTGCATATACATATAGATATGTATATACACAGATACTTGGTCTTTCATAGGGTTTCATATCTTTTAGCTTTTGCTTCTGTTCTCATTCTTGTAATTTTTATTGAATTTTATTGTCAGAATTGGGAGGTGTGTTTAGTCGAAGTGGTAATGTATAGATGTGAAATGGTTGTGGTATCATATGTCGAAAATGAGTATCGAATGTTAGTCCTCGAGGTTCTATTGATTCGTGATGATTAGAAGTATGATCAAATGTGATAGTTGTTCCTATCAGTGGAATGTCATAGTCTTCATTGTAGTCGTAGACTGTAGCTCT